CATTCCACAGTGCCCTGTTCCCCTTATGGGAAGGGACATCCTCACAAAGTTGGGGGCTACGCTTTCCTTCTCCCCTCATATATGCTTCCATCCAGACTCACCTGCTGCTTCCCTGAGCCTCACCCTTACCTTAGGACCATCCCCTAGTCCCTCTGCCAGTGCCTTCCCATTACCTCCTTCCAAGGTGGGCCCTACTGTCTGGGATGTTTCAAGTCCTTCTATCGCCTCACACCATTAGCCCATTCACATCCATCTCAAAGATCCCCTCCATTTTCTGGCCCAATTAGAATACCTGATCTCCTGTCAAAAAATTCCTAGGCTTACAGCCTACATTCAAGACACTTTGTGAAAGGGATTCCTTAGACCTACTCATTCCCCTTATAACACCCCCAACTTGGTAGTAAAAAATCCTAATGGCTCCTACCACTTTGTCCAAGACCTCCATTCCATCAACTCTGCGATCATCCCAATCCATCCCATGGTAACCTATCCTTATACCCTTCTCACCACCACCATTCCTTCCAGGACCTCTTACTAGACCTCTCAGTACTAGACCTGAAAGATGCCTTCTTCTCTATTCTTCTCCATTCTCTGGAGACATTTTCACCTTTACATGGACAGACCCTGTCCATGTAAAATTGTATAATTTCACTCAGCTGACGTTGACAATTCTACCCCAAGTGTTCTGAGACAGCCCTCATATCTTCTGACAGGCCTTGGCTAAGGATCTAGCATCCATATATCTCACTCAGACTGTGGTGTCACAGTATGTTGATGACCTCCTTCTTTGCAGTCCCTCCTTTGAGGTCAGTCATCAGGAACCTGTAAACTTCTTAACTTCCCTTCTGCCCATGGCTATAGGGTTTCTCCATCCAAGGTACAGCTTCCCTAGGCCTCCTCCTGACCCCTACACACAAAGCCATTATGGTTGATAGAAAGGGTCTTATCGCTAATATACCAATGCCCTCTACTAAGGAAGAAATTCTCTCCTTTCTAGGTATGGCAGGATTCCTCAGAGCTTGGATTCCTAACTACTCTATATTGACTAAGTCTCTATATGATGCAGCCCGGGGCCCACTCTCTAAACCCCTATTGCACTCTGTTATAAGGCCCTTCATAGGCTCTAAGAACTGCTCTCCATCTCCCTGATCAGAGTCTTCACTTTGGCAAAGGGGGCCTCCCTCAATGTCTATACTGACTCTAAATACACTTTCCACATACTTCTCTCCCACTCTGCTATTTGGAAGGAGTGCGGATTCCTTACCACCAAGTTCCCTTGTGAAGGGAACAATAAGGCAGACTCTGAGGTGAGGGCCGTCCCCCAACAGCCTACTCCACCTGTGGTCTTCTGCCTTGCTAGTCCCCCAATAGACTGTTCCCCACCTGACACTCAACAGATGCTTACCTTCCTTCACAACCTCTTTCACCCTTAATACCACATCTTTAAAAGAATTTCTCACTTCCCACCTTAAACTCCCTCCAGAGGACCTACAATTTCTCTCTACCCTCTCTGCCTCCTGTGAAATCTGCCAAAAAATCCAATCCCACCTCAAATGTCCGCCCACTTGCCTTCCCTTTACACCAGGCAAGAGGACATCTCCCTTGCTGTGATTGGTAGCTGGGTTTCACCCCTATGCCCTTGGTCAACACATTCTTCCCCAATTCAGCCTCCCCTCTTCGCTCCAGTTTGACAGTGGTCCTGAATTTACTTCCCATGTTTCACAGTTGGTAGCTAAGGCACTCAACATCTCCTGGCATTTTCATATCCCCTGCCATCCTCAGTCCTCTGGCAAGGTGGTCGTAGTAACCGGACCCTGAAGAACATCTCACTAAACTATCCCTTGAATTACATTTAGATTGGACTAAACTTCTTCCCTTGGCTCTTCTTAGGTTCAAGCCCTCCCAAAGAAGCCACTCAACATCTCCCCTTTTGAGCTTCAATATGGACGGCCTATCTCCCTGCTCAGCTCACCACCCTCTGGTTCTCCACTACCCCTTGCTCCTCATCTTTTCTGGCCCCTTCTTGCATACATCAGGAAACTTCTTTGGCAATACAACAGTGCTGTTCTGGCAAAGCCTATTTCTGCCTCTTCCCCTTCTCCCACTCTGTCTCCTGGCAACCTGGTATTTTTTAACCCCCTCAACAGGCTCCTCTCCTCCTCTCAACTCTGCAAAATGGACTGGACCCTACCAGGTCATTCTTACCACTCCCCCAGCAGTACCGCCTTGAGGGCATCCCATATTGGGTTCATAACTCCCATTTTAAATGGATTTCTCCCCCTTTTATATAGTGACACCCACAGGCCTTCTCAAGTTGGGTTTCTCCAAGGCCAGAACCCCAATCTTCTTTTGGTCTCTGAGGACCACGAGGACACTGCAGAACCATGGGTACCATCCTTCCCTTTTTCACTTTTGCCCTCCTCCATCATTTTGCACTCACCTCCCAGGGGTACCATTACCAGGAGTTACCATTCCAGTTTCTAGGAGACTTACAGCAACTTGCTCAAACCATACAAACCATACTATCTCAGCTTGGTTCTTTAGCTGCTGTGGTTTTTCAGCTAAAGGCGTCTTGATCTTTTTACAGCTAAAAAGGCAGACTTTAGCTGTACCTAGAGGAGGAATGCTATTTTTATGTCAATCAATCTGGTATAGTAAAGGACAAGATAAAACAACTGCAACAGGACCTTGAACATTGGAAACAACAGCTCTCCTCTACTGAAGGATGGCAGCTAAGTAACCCCCTTCTCCAGTGGGTTCTTCCCTTCCTGACCCCATAGGCTTTCTGTTAATGTTTGACCCCTGTGTCATTAGATTGGCTCAAGACTACATCCAAAAATCTCTAATCAAACTATAAACCAGCTTTTGTTACAGAAATACCAATCCCTCACTAAACATTGGGGCACCAGGGACAGCATTCCACCACCACTCAACCTCCATCATCGTTCTAATGACACACCAGGCCCCTAATGAGGGATTCAAAACAGCCCCTTCCCAGCAGGAAGCAGTTATAGAAGATTGACCTATGTCCCTGTTCCCTACGTGGCCCAATAAAAATAAAAAAGGGGGGAATATAAGGTCCTTGCTTAGCATCTGGATGACCATCTTAAATGACAGCCACCATTTTAAGGAAAAAGTTTTGCTTTCCTGCCCAAGGGTATCTCCGAGAAAGGCTCACCACTCCCTCACACCAACCCAACCATTAACTACCCACATTAGGATCCAGCGGGCTCTGATTCCTGAGCCTCCCTTTTAAAAGTCCCAGAACTCAAGCCTGTTTAGCCTCTCTCTCCTACAGAGAAATGGCCTTTATTTGTCAGCTCTGACAAATAAACCCTCACGTGTATCTCTACAAAAATTGGGCTCAGTGCCCCTGAGTTCAATCATCGGTACCCCCCCCCCAAAATCCTGTAGCCTAACCTTGATTTTCCTCCCCAACCCCACCCCTAGGCAATCACTAATCTTTTCCTCCCTCCCTTCCTTCAATTGAAGGGATTGAAAAATGCAGCCTTGAGCATGCTACACAAGCACTCTACTACTCAGCTACCTCCCCAGCCCTTTATTTTATTTCAAGATAAGATCTAAATTGTCCAGGCTGGCCTAGAATTTATGATCCTTATATGTCAGCCTCCCAAATAGGATTACAGGCATGGGCCACCAAGCTGGGTTATAATATACTCACATCTTCTATTTCCCCAGTATGCACATTTCATATAAATGGAATCACATAATATGTGGTCTTTTGTGACTTTTATTTCCCCCAGTACTGAGGATTAAACCCAGGGACACTCTACCACTGAGCTACATCCCTGTCTGTTAAATTTTTTGTTTTTTACTTTTAGACAGGTTCTCACTAAATTTCCCAGCTGGCCTTAAATCTGCAATTCTCCTAACTCAGCCTCTGGAGTGCTGGGATTATAGGCATGCCCCACTGCACCCAACTTGCTCCTGGCTTCTTACCCTTACCATGATGCTTTCAAGGTTCATCCATGTTGTAACATGTGTCAGTACAATCCTTTTTATGTCTGAAAGATAGCCCATTGTGTAGTCATTCTTTAATTTGTTTATCCATTCATCAATTGATGGAACCTGGGGTTGTTTCTGCCTTTTGGCACTTATGAATAATATTGCTATGAACACTTGTGTTTAGGTTTTTGTGTCAATTAATGTTTTTCATTTTTCTTGAGTGTGCACCTAGGAGTATAGCCTGTGGATCACATGGTAATTCTATGTTTAACTATTTGAAGAACTGTCTGGTTGTTTTCCAAAGAGGCTGTACCATTTTACATTCCTGCCTTTAGTATATGAGGGTTTCCAGTTTCTCCACAGCCTTGCCAGAATTTGTTATTCTCATTTTGATTCTAGTCTTCCTGGTGGATATGCGGTTCTATTTCCTTGTGATTTTGATTTGTATTCCTTACTGGTTGATGATACTAAGCATCTCTTCATGTGTTCCTGACAGTGATTTAGATTCACGTCAGAATCAGATTCACAGTCCTGAATAGGAACCATTCCATAGAATTGGTATTTAGAAGTCCAGATTCAATACAAAAACAAAGAACAGGCCCAGTTATTTTTTATAGATCTTTATTTCACTTTATTAGATCTTATCACTGTTCAAGGTGATAGCCATGAACTGGGAAATTTTAAATCAGTAACCTAATTAGTGGAATGGGATTCAGAATTTAGATGTCAGGGGTCTGAAGTCAAGAAGCTTCCTAAGTTAAACTTAAATGCTAAAACTATACACTTATCAGTTCTAACCAAGGTAAGCCAGAGACTTGATTCCATGAGGATGACTACATCTTTGTTATACAGTGGGTTGTCCCTGGGTCATTCCCCTACAGAGGGGTTAGAAGATGTGCAGCAGGTTAAGTATCCAGGCTTGGTGCCAGACCCTTGACAAAATCCAGAGTAAACCCAAGAAAGTTGCATATTGAGGAGACAGAATCCGTTTTCACTATGTTCAGGAATGCCTATACTCAAATTTGCTTTTATAGAAACCACTCTGAGAAGCATCACCACAAAGCCAAGCTTCGAAAGATCAAGGATCATCTAGTTCATGAAGTAGAAATACGAAATAAGAGAATTAAACAACTTGAAGAAGAAGCTGGACTCCTGCAACAAAAAATTGAGACGGTGAGAAAGAGAGAAAAGTATATGATGACACTGGTGGCTAGCCATTTAGAGAATGCCCACTCATTTGTAAGTTAATTTGTGGACTCTTCAGAGCCCTCCTTTTCTTTTTATGTCATCGTTTTTCCATGTAAGTAATTATTTAAGTCCTGCCAAACAGAATCTAAGACTCATACTGTTGCTAAACTAAATTGAACACTGAAAATAGTCTGCACTGCCAATTTATGCTTGTCTTGCCTTCAAACGAAAATATCTTTTCTTAAATACTCTTCAGCAAAGACTTCCAGACTACCCTCATTAACTAACTCATTCCTGTTTTAAGTCCCCCGTGTTTTGTCTCAAGCCTCAGCGTCAGTTTTAATGGCATTGAAAACAGGTAATCCTGATTTCTTTATCAGTTCTTGATTAGCACCTTCAAGCTTTTTCTAAATATCCCTGATTTCTTTAGGCTTGTCTTATTGGTCTTGTGACTTATGGGCATATGGATAAGAAAGAAATTGGACAAGACAAGTGGAATTGCATGCAGAATAGTCTTGAGATGTTTAAGCTACATAAATTAAAAATGGAAAGCAACTTCCAGGCATGGTGGCATAGGCTTATAATCCCAGCAACTCAGGAGTGAGGCAGCAGGATTGCAAGTTCAAGGCTAGCCTAAGCAATTTAGCAAGATCCTGTCTCAAAATAAAAAATAAGAAAAAGGTCTGGGGATGTAGTTCAGTGGTAAAGCACCCTTGGTTCAAACCCCAGGATCAAAAAAAAAAAAAAAAAAAAAACAACTGACATCAATAGTGTTTTCCCTTTCTGGGATCTCTAGTCCATTTCAGAATTTTGAAAATTGGCTGAGCATGGTGGTGCATGCATGTAAATCCCAGTGGCTTGGAGGCTGAGGCAGCCTCAAAGCTAGCCTCAGTGATTTAGCAAGGCTCTAAGCAACTCGGTGAGACCTGTCTCTAAAAAAAATACAAAAAAAGGGCTGGGGATGTGCCCCAGAGGTTAAGTGCCCCTCAGTTCAATCCCCAGTACCAAAAACAAAAAAAAAAAAAAAAAAAAAAAGAATTTTGAAAATTCTTTTCCTGCTAAAATACTCCTTTATATACCCACCTAAATTTTTTTGTATCTCTGATATATGCCAAAGATACCAAAACAATTTATGTAATTTCAGATATTCATTCACTACCATGGGACTTGGGTCAAGAATCCCTAGACTGGGGCTGGGGTGGTAGAGTGCTCGCCTGGCACGCATGAGGCACTGGGTTCAATCCTCAGCACCACATAAAAATAAAATAAAGAGAAGTAAATGAAGGTAAAATATTTTTTTTTAAAAAAAAAGAATCTCTAGACTACACACATTACAACTTTTTTTTTTTTCTCTCTGCATACTGGAGATTGAGTCCAGGGGCACTCTACCATGCAGTTATAACCCTGACCCTTTATATTTTTATTTTTAGGTAGGGTCTTGCTAAATTGCCAAGGCTGACCTTGAACTTTTCAGTCCTTCTGCCTCAGCCTGCTGAGTAGTTGGAATTACTGGTGTGGACCACTACACCTGGTTTACATAGTCATTTATTTGTTAATATGGACGCCTGGATTCTCATTTTATTTGTTGAGTTATAATCTGTTACTATCATTATTGATTTTGGTGTCTAAGTTGTGTCAGATTTGACCTAAAGTAGCTCACCTTGAACTTTTGGACTTCCAAATAACAGATTGCAGGGATGTGCCACTGTGCCTGAAGACCAATGCTTTCTTGTACTACCTGCCTCTACTTCTATGCTTATATGTAAAACAGCTTTCAGCAGATTTGCTTCCTTTCTTCTTGACTGTACTGGGTTGAATAGTGTTCCCCAGAATTCATGTCTACCCAAAACATCAGATTGTGACCTTATTTGGAAACAGGATGTTTACAGATGTAATTAGTCAAAATGAGGTTATCCTGGGATAGGGTGAATACTAAATCCAATCTGACTGGTTCTCTTATAAGAAGAAGGGAAGACAGGGGAAGAACATTGGTGGTGACGGGGACAAAGATTGGAATGATGTAACTAAACCAAGAAACACTGAGCTGTGCTGGCTACCACTCAAAACCAGGAGAAAAGCAGGGAACAGAAGCTTCCTCCGAGGGCTGAGGGTGTGTCTCAGCAGTAGAGCAATTGCCTATCATGAAGAAGGCCCTGGGTTTGATTCTCAGTATTGCAAGGAAAAATCAGCCAACCAAAAAAACCCTACATGTGAGCTTTTAGAAAGAATTAACCCTGCTAACATCTTAATTTCAGACTTGCAGCCCTCCAGAACTGTAAGAAAATTAATTTCTGTTGTTTTAAGCACTCAGTTTGTGGTAATTTGTCATGCCAGGCCTAGAAAGCTAATGCACTGACTAGAAGAACAATAGGTCTTCAGGAAATATACTGCAAATTGCAAATAAGCAGAGGCTAGGAAAGTAATTTGGACTTTTGTTCACACCATTAAAGAGTTCTGTGGGCTTTAGCTTTAGAACAGACATGGATTCAAATTCTAGCTCTGACTTTTAGTTCTTTGACTTTGGACCAGTTTCTGTGAATCATTTCCTTTATCTGTAACATGGAGAAAATAATCTCCACCTCATATGTAAGACTTTTGTGAGAATTAAAAACATAAAATTCCTAAAGTGGTTTATATTAAATTTTTCATTGATATTATTATTTTCCCTTTTCTTGGGGTATGATCCCTAAGAAGCATATTAATGGGTGGATGTATAGTTCACAAGACAAATTGTTAGAATTAAAAATAGTTCATGGCACAGGCCTGTAATCCCAGTGGCTCAGGAGGCTGAGGCAGGAGGATTATAGGTTCAAAGCCAGCCTCGGCAACTTAATGAGGCCCTAAGCAATTTAGTGAGACCCTGTCTCTAAATAAAATATTAAAAATGGCTGGGTTCAGTGGTTAAACACCCATGGGTTTAATTCCTGGTACCAATAAATAAATAAATAAATAAATAAAGTTCAGCGAAGACTGATGTGAGCATTCTTAATACCACAGTACTACAAACTTGGCATTTTTTATTTTAACCTATTTTCGGACCCACAGATCAGAGCCCTGAGGTTAAAAACATTAGGTTTACCTTCTGAGTCTCCAAAAATGAATGTCTCTTTTTTTGGCTTCATCTCTTCGGCCTTCTCAATATGCAGCAAGCCAGGGCTGGGGATGTGCTCAAGCGGTAGCGCGCTCGCCTGGCATGCGTGCGGCCCGGGTTCGATCCTCAGCACCACATACAAACAAAGATGTTGTGTCCACCGAAAACTAAAAAATAAACATTAAAAATTCTCTCTCTCTCTAAAAGAAAGAAAGAAAGTCTTTCAGTAAGTTCCTGTTGCCATTCTTTCCTTTAAAAAAATAATGCAGCAAGCCAACTGAGTCCTCTAATTGTTGTACCCATCCAAACCAGATTTACCCCAATATTTTACCTTATCACCATAGCAGGTATTCCTATTTTTAAAAAAATTCTATATTTACCAATACCTATCTATGAACTCTTTCACCACAAAAAATATGTGGTGTTTCCTAAGGACAGGGTAAATGTCCCCATCTAATATCCTTTCTAATTCATTTATTACAGGATAGGGTATATTGTCTATGGCTGCTTCTATTCTCAACCTTTATCAATACAACTACAATGCATATGTACATGTATTAAATATCTTTAAATAATAACAAGTGAGATTATTATTAGACATTGAATGGTCCTGGAGAAGGACTTTAAAATGCGGAATGGTTTGTTTCAGAACATAATCTAACCTCCTTCCTTTCATATCTTAAATAATAGATGGGCAGTCTTTTCTTGAGCGATCAACACTAGTATCTTCATTAGTATCTTATTTAAGAACTTACTGTGTGTGTGTGTGTCTGTGTGTGGTAGATACTGGGAACTGAACCCAGGTCAGGCCTGGTGCTAGGTAAGCACTCTACCACTGAGCTACATCCCCAGCCCTTATTAGTATCTTATTGAAAAGAAGCATAAAGTTGCCCCTCTTTTATTTATTTATTTTTTAGCTTTAGGTGAACACAATATCTTTATTTTACATTTATGTGGTGCTGAGGATCTAACCCAGTGCCTCGTGCATGCTAGACGAGCTCTCTACCACCCCAGCCCCAAAGTTGCCCCTCTTAACCCTATGATTCACCCTCTTGCCTAACATTGTTATTCTCCCTTCCCCACTTGTTCCCATCACTGGCAGGTGAGGAACAAAAACTGGAAAGATGAAAGTACTTGCCTGTTACAATTTGCAGGTCATCCGTGAAGTGAGACCAACAATTCTATACTTACCAATATCTATCTATGAACTCTTTCAGCTATGGGGGAATATTAGTGTTTTTTCACCAAATGTACTCCTTTACCATTTTAGCCATAACTTCAGTATCTCTTGCCTTGGAAGAAAATCACTGGTAGAAAGTGAAACATAGTGTTGGGCTTGAAGGCATTTCAGCATCATTCCTGCGGCAGTAGGCTCCACTCTTGGCTGTCAGGCGTGGCTTGCCATGCCAGCTGGGATCCTGACTCTGCCTGACCAGGTGGCTAAATTCCCATCTTCCTCCCTCTGCCTTTAAAGGAATACAACTACAATGCAGATGGACATGTATTAAATGGGGAAAATTTAAATATGGAGCTTCAAAAAAATTCAGTCGTATTTGTTGGAGGTTTTTGATCCCTATGTAATTAGAATACATCTAAGAGAGGGGAAAGATAATACAGGTAAGAGCACTGGGATCTTAGGAGAAGTTGAGGTTCAGATCTTCTTAATGTTACTGCAAAAGAATGGTTAAACCTCCAAACAAAAATACATCACATATAAAATAAATAGAAGAATATCTAGCTATAATGAATGACCATGTCACCAAACAGAAACAGACTAGAGGACAGGAAAGAGAGTAAACAAGAGAAGTTTGTTGTTAGGACTTAGAAACAGGCAGAAGTTCTTAACTCTTTCTCTTGCTGTGAATCCCTAGGAGAAGGCATTCCAGGCCCAGATCACGGTCCAAAATGATAATCTGATCATAGAAAAAAGGGAGCTTCTGAAGCAAGTCATGGACCAAGAAGAAATAATCCGCAACAACAAACAAATAATCTCATCAGTCAAGAGCAAGTAGGTGCAGTCCCACTGGGCAGCCAGTAGACTCCGCTGGCTTTGTTTCTCCTTCAACAAAGAAATGGTTGCAGAGGCTGTCTTTGAGTTTGTGGCTTATCCTATAACTCTTCCTCTGATGTCTGCTGTTTTCAGCAGATCATGCAAGCAGCAGAACTTGTGAAATTAGAAAAAATATCATGGACCAGGCGGGCCAGCCATTCATATAGGCTCTCACACAGAGGACCCGGATATGTGCATTCTGGCCAGCCTCATTGTGTGTGTCAATGCTCCCTTTTTTTATCATTTGATACCTATGGAATTAAAGTAGACCAGAGAATTAAGCCCATAGGAAGGACTTAAATGCATGAATCCCACAGGATATGACATTAATTTTTAATGAGAAATATTCAAAGAGGAAAAGAATTTAGATACAAGCTGGCTCGTGCATTCTCTCCTCCATGGGAAAATTTAATTACAGTAAAAAATATTCTTAGAGCAAGAACAAGAACAAAGAGAATGGGTTGATCTTAACAGAAAATGTCATCTATGACAATTATGTTTGAGAACTACAATGATTGAGAACTTACTATATGCTAGACACTGTTCTAAGCTCACTCTCTCTGGATTCATTTAACCTTAACACTAACCCCAGGAGGGAGGTATTAACATTAGCTTTAGTTTATGGATGAGGAACCCAAGCTCCACAGAGGTCAGGGAAGTCACCTAGACTGGTTAGTAGTCAAGCAGTATGTGAACCTTTGCAGCCTGGCCCAAGACTCCAGCACCATACCTGTCAGCTACTTTGGGCACATGCTCCTTAGGGCACATGTGGAAAGCCTCTGATTATCTTTTACTGTTTGTGTTTCCCCTTTTATACAGCTAAAGCATTGTCCATCTCAAACTATGTCATAGTTTCTGAAGTCAGTTTAGAGATGGGGAAACTGAGGCTCAGATTTATAATTTGCTAAGGGTCACTCAACTAACAAGTTGCAGAACGAGAAATCAAACATGAAACTCTAATCAAATCTATTATACTGCCAAGTCTCCCGAATAACTGCAGCCCTGAGAGCCTAAGATAGTGGAAAAGAGATCAGGCTTCCTTCGAAGTCTTAAAGATCTGCTTGGCATCCCAGTTCTACAAATTTCTGTTTTTATGTTCTTAACCAAGTTCCTGTCCTCTCTCAGCCTCAGTTTTCTCAGCTATAAGAAAGGCTTCATAACAATATTTGTTTTATGAGGTTGTTCTGAAGATTAAGTGAGCCAATATGTGAAAAATGTTTAGTGCTTAATGTGTGAGCAGGTCACATTGCCTAAGTACATGGTGACTAGCTAGTAAGTGGCTGCTGCTGCTAATACTATTTCTACTTCTCCATGAGAACTCAGAATCAGATTAGTGTAAGATGAGAGCCAGAAGCAAGCTGTGTAGTTAGGATATTTGAAGGATATGGTCTTTTGTTTCAATCCTTCCCCTAGAGTCATACCTTAAATTTCTCAAGGTCTGGAATTCATATACTCATGCATATGTATTTAATAACCATTTATAGACCAGAAGCTTATTGTTTTTTCAGTTGATTGTTTAATATGGTAAGAATTATTCTGCCAAACTTAGTCTAAGTTCTGGACAGTGGTCCAAGACCCAGAGACAGTGGGATGTGGAACATAGTTTTGGGCTTTCAAAAATGATGCAGAATTTCTAGGGAGGGTGTGTAGCTTAGTGGTTGAGCAAATGCGGAGAATGCAAAAGGTCCCAAGTTTGATCCCCAGTACTGCCCGCCCCCCCCAAAAAAAAAGAAAGAAAGAAAAAGACATTTCTAGCTATGTCTCTGATTTATACTGTTGTTAGAGCACTTTTCCTGGATAAAGAAAATAAGCAATTACAGGAAAATCATTTCCGGCTCATGCAGCAAGTTAGCTTCTTAGAGCGCATTATATGGAACATCCAGATTCGCAGAAAAGAGGTAAGATGTGCACTTTTTATTGGGTCCTTAATCTGAAGTTTTGGTTGCTAAGTTTGCTGTACCCTCTCTTCTCTTCAACTTCATATAGCTCTAGTTGTGCTCTTGGCTTCATGGTGGGCTGTAGCAAAGAGGCTCCTTGGCTACACACATACCAGGGTAGCAAATCCCGCAAATGCTGTTGACCAACTCTGCTTTTCATTGGGTCAGCTTTAAAACTCACTGGTGTGATTCTAAAGCAATTCATGTATGATTCTGAGCTTCTTCTCTAACATATTATATAGTGGTTATTGCTGTTTTTCTTTTCTATCTCATTAACTCTGCAGTGAGATCCTAGAGAGCAACAACCGTAGTTCATATATTGTTGTATCTGCAGACAGATGCTCCACAGATATTTGAGAATGAATGAACGTTAAATGTTTTCATATATATGCCTCATTCTCAGCAACCTTGTTCATAATGTTTTACTCTAGCCACATTAGGAAAGAAAGGTGAGCAAGTCTTGAGGCTCAGAGAAGTTAAGTGAAACTAGCCTATTAAAGAATCAAGACAACAGAGCACCCTAGTCCAAGAAAAGCAATTATGTTCCAAAAATTCAGACAAGTAGCCAAGTTTAGAGAGAGGCAGAAAGTAGTACAGGGTGAGACAAGGTCTAGAGTCTGGATGGTAAGCAGGTCAGAAAGAGGGACTTCTGTAAGAAGAATTATATTCTGAATCCAAGGCAGAGGCTATTTTCTTCCTTCCCTGGTTGTATCATTTGTAAGACATCCCTCCCCAGGATACTTAACAGTAGATCCTGCTTGTTGGGCACTATTGTTGAGAATGCATCTTTACTCTCAAAAGGGTAATTGCTTCCAAGCTATGTTAGTTGTTTTGCATATTTCACCCAAAGTAGAATTTTCAGCTGGGTGCAGAGGCGCACACCTGTGATCTATGCAACTGGGGAGACTGGAGGCAAGAGGATCACAAGTTCAAGGCCAGCCCAGGTAAGTTAGCAAGATCCTAAGCAACTTAGTGAGATCCTGTCTCAAAATAAAAAAATAAAAAGGGCTGGAGATATGGCTCAGTGGTTAAGTGTCCCTGGGTTCAATCTCTGGTTCCAGAAAAGAAAGAAAGAAATCAGATATAAAAGGGTACATATTATAGGATCATATGATCCCATTTATATGAAATGTCCAGAATAAGAAAATAAATAAAGTCAGCAAATATATTAGTGATTGGCAGGAGAGAGGAATGGGAAGTGACTGCTCATGGGGGTGGGGCTTTTTTGGAGGGTGATAAAAATGTTCTGGAATCAGATAGTGTTGATGGTTGCACAAAATTGTGAATACATAGAAAAGCACTGAATCAAGCTTTTTTTTTTTTTTTTTTGGTGGGAGGGGTTACTGGGAATTGAACCCAGGGTGTCTTACCACTGAATTACATCCCCAGTCCATTTTTTTGCTTTGAGACAGGATCTCACTAAGTTGCTTGGGCCTCACCAAGAGGCTGAGGCTGGCTTTGAACTTGGAATCCTCCTGCCTCAGCTCCTAAATTGCTGTGATTACAGGCATATGCCACCATACCCAGCTCTTCCAAGCATTTTTAAAGGGTGAACTTTGTGGTATGTGATTCATTTGGCAACAATGCTATTATAACAACAAAAAAACAAGTCCCTTGTATATGTTCTCCAAATATGAACAGAAAAGAAAAGAAGAAAGATGAAGACAATGTATAAAATCATGTGTGTAAAAACTAGAAAGATAGGCAGAGATAGACTATGTATATAATCTACATATTATATGGATAGTTTATATAAATATATATAGCGATCAATATAGACGATATACAGGAGAGAGAGAGAGCCTGACTTACTGATAGTGTTGTTCAAGCAACTTTTCATTCTATACCCTTTTATGCTTTTTGTTGTGTGTAGTATATTCAGGTACTATAGCTATATTATATATTTATATGTATAAATTCTAGAATCATACTGCCAATGGTTTATCATTATAATATTTAATATTAGTCCATTCTTTCCTTTTAGGAAGCAACAATTAGTGACATCCCTGGACTTGATGTACTAAAGAAAATATTGCCTTTTCCAGGATCTAGGTTAGTAAAATCAATAGAGTATTCTGCATGCCCGAGAGGCATAGCTGTTAACTAGCTCTGAGTTGCTGTCTTGAGAAAGCATAGCATTGAAGAGTATTTTTCTACAATTAGTAAGTGAATCTTCTCCTAATTCCTTGTCCCCTCACCAACCCTTCACCCTCATATCCCACAGAATCCTATTTAAGTAAGACGGGAGGTAACCCACAATAATAGGTTAAAGGTAAATTTTATTTGGTTATTTTCTTTGTGCTTGAGAGTTGTAAAAAACTGAAATATTATTGAAGCCACATCCCTGTAACCCCAAACTTCTACCAGACAATTCTATCCATACAATGCCCTCACTCATGTTCTTTCTTAGTTTTTCAGGAGCATGTCTGTTAGAATCCATTGGAAATCTTCAAGGGACTAAGGAACATAAATCAGAAGCAGCAATGGGAGTTTCAAAGTCCCCTGAGTCTCTTTCATGTTCACAGAATTCTGAAACTGGATACATAAATATGGCTTTTCTGAAAGAGGCACACAGCCTAAAAAAACAAGACCAAAAGTCAGAACTATAAAATCGCTGGTGTCTAACACTATAATGATCAAACCTGCTAACTTAAAGCTTGAACGTTAAAGTGGACTATGACATGGAAGATTCCAGATTCCTCACTGTGTGTCAGCCAGGAGTCTTCAAAATTGCTGATAATTCATTAAACAGTTTCTAAAAATGGATTTCTCAAGTTTGTTTTATATCCTGAGATGATTTGAATTGATCAGTACAGTGAAGTTCGATGATATAATTAGATTTTACTTCAGAGTATATATATGGTTAATATAGCATTCTTTTCCATTATCATGGGTATTTTTAAGTGTTATTATTTAAAAGAAAAAAACAATGTAATCACATTTAAGTAAATATTTTTTTTAAAAACCTGTATAATTCCTTTTTATTTATTTATTTGGTACCAGGGATTGAACCCAGGGGAACTTAACCACTGGGTCATATATCCAACTGGCTTTGAATTTGTAATTCTCCTGCCTCAGCCTCCCAAGCCACTGGGATTACAGGCATGTGCCACTGTGCCCTGTTAAACCCACATCCTTTTATTGTTTTGGTAACAGGGATTGAACTCAGGGATGCTTAACCACTGAGCCTTATCTTTAGCCCTTTTTTATATTTTAGAGATAGAGATAGGGTCTGGCTAAATTGCTTTAGGGCCTTGCTGAATTCTTGAGGCTGGCCTCTTACTTGTGATACTCCTGCCTTTGCCTCTGAGTCTCTGGGATTACAAGTGTGCAGCCACCGGGGCCCATTTTAGATGCACTGAATTTTTATAGGTAACCCTTACTTCCTCAATCACTAGAAAGGATGATCCAAGGATACAGGAAATAATAGCTATTGTATCAAATGTGTGCTCTGACTGAGTCTAGCCCAAGGTAACATTTTTTTTTTCAATCAATTCACTGGGTCTATTTAACGAAAACTTATTATATGCTAGTTGATAGTAGGCAACGCAGCCTCAGTTGTGAACAAGACAGACTAGGAGAGTTTTTACTCATGGAATTTATGTACTATTAGGGAGGAGGCTGTGTGTGGCAGGGAATGAACGGTGAGGACATATAATTTTGAACAGTTGAGCAGCAAAAAGAAAACCAGAGATCTGAGTGACAAAGGGCTTTTGTTTGGTTGCCCCTGGGCTGAGCCCTGAATTACAAGGAGCTACCCTGCCTTCCCTATAAAGGATCTCTAAGAATATTTCAGAATTAACATCTACTATCAAGACCCAAAGGAAAGTAGCGATTTTAATGACCTGGAGGAAGAGAAAGGCAGAATAGTAACTGAGGGTGAGTCATCTGAGGTGAGGCCAGACTACAGGTGGCCAGACTGCAGCATTTAGGGCTTTGGATGTAAGAAGCTGAATTTTATTCTAAATATGAGAAGCCAGTTGTTATTTCTTAAGCGCAAAGTTTATTTAAAAAACTCGAGTTGCTCTATAGGAAATGAGTTAAAAGTTTATGGCAGAACTGAAATTAGGATTCTAGTGTCCTGAATTCAAGGGGGGTACAAGTACTGAGCAAGCCTTATGTGCCAAGCCGTTTTCAATACCGAGGATGAACACAACAGAGATCCTCGTAAACAGTACAACCACCACGAAACAGTTGGTTTGGAGGTCCTGGCTTCAAGAGCTGAAAGCCTTGCTTATTCAAAACGCCCTGGATGTAAAGATTAATCTACACGTACTAGTACAGCCATGTCAGTGGGATGCCTGTCGACCTTGAGCAAAAAGATGCCCGGACTTTCCCCCTCCTCCTTCCCCTCTCGCGCGCTCCTTTCCCTGGAAAGCCCCCAGCTTCCACGAGCCAACCGGATCGCGCCTCGCGTCGGGGACCGGACCCGGTCGACTTCTACTACGCCTGCGCGGAACCCTCTCCCCCGCCGCGCAGCATTGGATTTAGTTCACCGGAAGCCAGATTTCTGCTTCCGGGTCGGAGCCATGGCGGTGGCAAATTCAAGCCCTGTCAATCCCGTGGTGTTCTTTGATGTCAGCATTGGCGGCCAGGTAAGGTACAGGCGGCCACCCAGATCTGCGCGAAGAGAAACCGCACGGGGCTAGCCGGGCACAGCTCACCAACCCAGAGGGGGAGGACTTGGGAGCCAGTGTGTGAAACTGCACCGGAGCCTTCCCTCCTGCGGGGCGGGAGGGTGTGAGTCTTGCCCACCCAAGCACCCTGCTTCTGGAAGGACTGGGCAGGACGCAAGGTTAAGCTAGGCAGATGGAGGAGGAGGTGGAGGTGGAAGTGGGAGATGCCTTGCGGCCTGGGGATGGGGCATCTCCCGTGAGCCCATCACGGTCGTGCGCTGGTGCTTCACAAAGACTCCTGCCGCTTGCAGGAAGTTGGCCGCATGAAGATCGAGCTGTTTGCAGATGTTGTACCCAAGACAGCCGAGAACTTTAGGTAAGGAATAACAGAACCAGGAGCTGGACATCCGCGGAATCACCCATCTGCCTCTGTCCACTCAGTGCCCTTGAGATTTGTTTTCTCTGGGTATTGTTCTGTCCGAATGGGTACTGCTTTTCTATTGTTCTCGTATCAACTTATGTTGTTAGGCTCTATGCCTGTGTGTCTTGACATTTGGCTGTCTGGTTGGTGAGTTTGCTGGATGCAATGTCTATACCCCTTTATCCCCTCCTGAGATTAGAGGTGCACACAGCTATGATGGCATAGTGACTGAATTGTTCATCTTTTCCCTTTTAGGCAGTTCTGCACTGGAGAATTCAGGTCAGTCTCTGCCTACTTCTGAGGGTGTGTTGGGAAAACATTGGAAAGCCCTGAGTCATAGAAGAGAATACCACAGGGATCTATCCTTAGGTGTTTCTCTTTTCTTTTTTTTAACTTCTATAAGTCTCTTCTCTCCACTTTCTTTAGGAGAGTTCCTTTGGCTCCAGTGTGTCCTAAACTGGAAAGGCCTATGATTACCTGATATCATTCCAAGTCTCTTTCTTTTTGGTTATAGAAAAGATGGGGTGCCAATAGGATACAAAGGGAGCACCTTTCACAGGTAAGGCTTTTGGTGAGATATTCTCGGGATTTTCACAAATGCAATCATCCTTTGGTATCAATGGGGGGTTGGTTCTAGAAACCCCCACATCCTTGCCCATGGATACCAAAATTTGAGAATGTTTAAATCTCTTATTTATTAATTTTTTTTCAGTACTGGGTATTTTAAGACAAGAGTCTCAATAAGTCACTGAAGCTGTCCTTGAATTTGGGATCCCCCTGCCTTAGCTTCCTGAGTTGATGGTATTACAGGCATGTGCCACCATGCTTGCCTCATTTCATATTTTATTTTTGGTACCAGGGATTGAACCCAGGAGTGCTTAACCACTGAACCACATGCTCATCCCTTTTAATTTTTTATTTTGAGACAGTCTTGCCAAATTGGTTAAGGCCTCACTAAGTTGCTGAGACTGCCTTTGAACTTGCAATTCACCTGTCTCAACCTCCTGAGTTGCTGGGATTATAGGTGTGCACCACTTCACCCAGTAAGTCAATATTTTTTTAAACCATAGAATCTTCTCTTAGGATCTTTTGCTCTCTGTTTTAGGGTTATAAAGGATTTCATGATTCAAGGTGGAGATTTTGTTAATGTAAGTACTGTTTCTTCCCTATCAAAGATCCATAGACAATTTTTTTTTTTTTAAATACCAGGGATTAAACCCAGGGGCACTTAACCACTGAGCCACATCCCTATCCCTTTTTATTTTATTTTATGTATTTATTTATTTTGAGACAGGTTCTTACTAAGTTGCTTAGGACCTTGCTAAGTTGTTGAGATTGACTTTGAACTTGGGATCCTCTTGCCTTAGCCTCCTGGTGGGATTACAGGTGTGCTCTACTGTGCCTGGCCATAGACTTAGTTTTTATTTTGTTATTGCTACTTTTACTACAAGAACCCAGTGTTCGGGTTTGAGAGCAATAACAAAGTTTGATGGGAAAAGTATAGAGATGGGGATATATTTTAGAAGGCTGACTGCAACTGACAGTACCCTTAATAAGAGATATCCACATTTTTATTGAGTCATTGATTTCCTTGGTCTAAACCTCAGTCTTCTGGGGATAGAAACTGAAATTGCCTGGCATACATACAGATGATCTGTGAGAGACTTATACTAATTGTTGCAATGTAACTTAGAACTCAGCTGCAATTTTTTTTATTTTTTATTTTTTACAATTTGTTTTTTCTAAATGGAAGTAAGTCTCTTTTTTCAGTGAGCTGAATGCTTATGTTTTGTTTTCCATTTCTGGTCTGGAACTTTCGTGTCTGGAAAGCAGTGGGCTTTTTTGTTTGTTTGCTTGCCTTTTGTATTTATTTTCTTTTTGAAAACTGAGTTTTTAATCAGTAATTGATTAGTGATCAAGGAATGAAAACAAAAAAGAGGTAGATTGTTTTGGGGAGATACTTATTCCATTCTTTGGATGAGCCCAACTGATTAGACTTACTGCTAACCATGACTTTCTTGTGACTACACTGTTTATGTCCTCATATCGAGTCTTCTTCTCCACCTCAAC